GGAAAAACCATCAGTTACAATTCGGGAACTATCAAGTTACACACAGATTGATAACACTAAACATTACTTAAAAAAATATATTGATGACTCTCAGTTGCATTCCGTAGATCATGTAGTTCTTTTTTTTTATCATAAATTATAATTTTGTTAAACAAGTACAAGGATTATTTAAATGCATTGCAATTAATCTCATACCATATAACATTTCTTCCCCTCACAAAAAAATCTCTCTATTTTTTTCATCAGCAAAAATTATTTCATTGTTGGGGTACAAGAGTTACCATCCTTTACTTACAGACCTTAAACCAGACAGAATTCCTTATCAATCCACACCCCAACAAGGAAAACAAAACAGAAGTCAAAAATAAACTTAAGCGAAGCACAAAAGCACCCCTTTTACAGCTTAATGCTGGTTGAGTGTGAGTACTCGTGGAAAGTTTGGACTAGTTGTTACCCATGGACATCGTGAGCTGTTTAGACTGCCTTACCAAAAGGAGTAAAAGACTGTTGAGTTTTAGAGGATGCAACCGAAGCATAAAATCAAAAATTATTCTTTTTGACCCACCTAGAATTGTTATGGATGTTAAGAAAGCATAAGAAAACAACTCTCAATGAAGCATGCCTCTTAGAGTCCGATACTTTGACGAAGCCTAAGAGCCTAAAATAAAAGTCTCTAGTGGTGATATCCGCACATATGCTAATTGAATTAGGAGAAGAATAAAACCTTCTAGTCCTAGATTTGAAGAATTCTGGTTGTTTCTTCTCTTGTAGTAGAATTCTGTAGTGGGATAAAATTCCACAAAGAACTAAGGAGAGAATTATGTTTTTTACTTTTATTTATACTCATTGATTTTCTAACATGTTCCTTGATAGCACAAGTTAAAGATGCAACTAAAATAGTTATTTATTAAGTTACATAAAGAAATAAAGATTAACTTTAATTTTATCAATTAAACCATTAAAATAATATATGTGGTGTTAATCCTAAAATCAATATCAACTTTTTTTGTTTTTCTATATGATTTAATGGCTAAGTAGCACAGCTAATGACCTATGTAATTTAGTAGTAATTTCCTTATAATAAAAGTAAAGAATCTTAACTTTAAGTCGCATGGTATGTAAATGAATTGAATTAAAAGATGAAAAATGATTGCTTCACATTATACAACCTAAGATCAAAAAGAAAAATAAAAAAGAAAAATTAAAAAAAAAAAAGGAAAAAAGATGCTAAAAGGTGCATTAATTTGCACTCCTAACCTGTGCCTCAAAAAAACCCTAATAGTAATAGGCTAATAGCAAATTAGTAAGAGGAAAACTAGAGTAATTCTATTCTAATTAGAAATAAATTAAATAAATCTTCGTCCCCAAAGCAAAGTCAAAGAAAGAAAACTTTCCTTCCCTTTCTCTTCTCTTCTTGTGGCACCCCTAGTCCATGTTGGACTAAAAGTGGCAGGTCTCCCATGCCTTATTGCCGCGCAAACCTAGTCCCATGTGGACTAGGGTTCGGCCACAAGACTCATTTGGACTTAATTGTCGCTTTTGAATTTTTTTTTCCTTAATTTTGAACAAATTTAAATTTAAATTAATTTTTTTCAATTGCTAATTTTTATTGTTTAAATTTTGATAACCAAAATCAAAAACCAAAAACCAAAAACTTGCCTAAAGAAATTTAAAAATTCCCAATTCCCTCAGGTGGCTATTCTCCGGCCTCTACTTGATGGTCAATTTTACAATTAGCCATTATGTATCCATAATAGATTTAATATTTTAGAATAATTCTATCATTTCTAGATGTAGAAAATTAAAGTTTAAGGAAGCAAGTTCAGGAAACTGAGGAGAGAGAGAGAGAGAAATAAAGCTTTATTAGTATCTGATAAAAAGATAAATTAGTAGAAAATTGAAGTAACAGAGGATTGAGATTGAAGAAGATTAAAGAAGAATTGGAGACTTAGAGTTCAGGGAAACAACCTAGAATGAGAGAATTAGGAGAATTTGAAAGAAAAGAAGTGGAGAGAAAGTAGAAACACTTCAAAAATAGGATCAAGGCAATGACATGCAACTGTTGGTAGATGAGGAAATTATAATACTAGAAGAATTTGAAAATGACATTGATACAAATATCCATTAATTCAACACACTTATTAAAAAATT